TCTGTCACCTGTTCAGAGCTTCAATTTTCCATCGATGATTAATCATTATTATTCACAGCACTCGCGATATTAAAAATTTTAAAATACTCGATACTTTTATTCGAAGCTCCTGATATGTATGCGATATTTGTGACTATTAAAAACGCGTAGACTGTGTTCATTTATCACATCCTTACATTCGCGGAAATCGTTTGAGATACTTTTACTCAACACTCCCGATGATTATACACAGCGATCTGTATAGTGTGTCACATTATTCATTATCACTCATGGTACTCATACTAAAATGCGACGCAACGTAAGCGACCGATACTTTTTCTCAATACTCAAAATTGTACGAAATACATGACGAGGTTAACTCTAAACGTTAAATCCGATTAGATTGTCAACAGCCCATCAAAGAAACTCGACGAAATCTTTGCTGCGATTCGCGCATCGATACATTGACATATTATTACTGAGATACTCTCGACGAGATAATCACAATCTTCCGATATTTTTTCTTGCCATAAGAAATTCAACTGTACAAAATGGAAGCCAATCGACGATTGGCAGAGACGCGCAACGGCACTACAGAAGTTCTAACGCTAATCGCCGAAATTCAGTTTGTTGCTAAATTCAGAACCAAGCGTCCGCCGATAGTATTTATTTATACATAAATTGATTAAATATTGATCATTGTCATTTGCGAAATAGTTATCCTTGCATTAGTCATAATGATCGCTCTATTTACCTCTCCTCGATATACCTAATATTCAGAAATACGCGATTGCTCCAAAAAGATCAAACCGCCAAAACATTCGTTGCAACAAATCTCAGCAAAGTTTCTGTTCGCATTGATTAATTATTGATTATTATCTTCGCAATATTCTTACCCCCAACATAAGCACATCAATTTTTCGCTATTATCAAAATCTACTTACACACGACAATCAAAAATAACTAACAACAAATTATGATCAACAAACGACGATCCGTATAGCACAGGTATAGCAATAACAACTAACGACAACTAGCGGTGACACTCGGGGTTACATTAAAGATGTTTCATTCGTTAGAAATTTGTCACTATTCAGAATCCGACCAATAGAAATCGTAATAGAAATCGTGTATCTATTTGTCCATGAATTGATTGAATTGTCATTATTATTCACAAGACAATTATCTTTGCTGTAAATGCATGACAATCCTCCTATATTTTTTCTCTGCACGCCTAAAATTTATCTATTTATAATTGATATAAAAACTCTAAACTCAAATTTGTATAGTTGTATAACCAACATAGTAAAGGCAATGAAAAAGCCTACCAACTGTTTACAAGTATTCGATACGATATAGTGATATGTTTGTCGGTTACGATTTTAATATTGAAATCTTCCGTCAATCAAAAGGTAATTGCTAATTAATATCGAATGTTTTGATTTTTCTGAACATATATATATATATATTTAGTTTTCTGTAAATAACAAGAATAATATAATTACGACAAAAATTTAGGTTTAATTTAAAAATTTACAATAAAAATTTAAGGGGTTAGGTTAGGTATAAACCGCATAATTTCAATTCCAAAAAGCGCACAACTGTTTCTAATTTCCTCATAGAAAAAAATATATTTATATTGCGTACCCTCGCGCTGATAAATTGATTTTGAGAGCACATAGCGCTTTTTTAGCCTTTCATTAGTCAGATGAGTGAACAGCATCAAATAGAATATCGGGTGATCATAACCCATCTCTTCTTTCGTTAATATAATAATATAATAATTAATAATTAGTAATTACTCAACGATTGGCGAAGCGGCCGTGATGATCGCGTCACGAATATTAAAACCGAAATATCGCTGGCAGTTTATTCATGTCGGTTAGAAAATTGGCAGCATTTATCGCATTTTTCGCGTTCTTTTCGCGTCGAAAGTGAATACATAAAAGTGTGTAACGATAGTACGCGTTTATAGTGTAACATTAAACGGCGTATCATATAATTTGCGCGTATGATCACAATCGATTGTGTTTTTGGTGATTCGCGATTTATTCGTGTGAGTAAATCTCTTTCACGGAGAAATTTCGGAGAACACGGATATTGTCATCAATTGAATAGCAGCGTGTGGCAAATGGATAAAACAGCTGGTAAGCGAATTATTTATTGTATAATTTTTTTCTCGTCAATGCTGGAAATAATCTGAAGCATAAGATTTAAAGAATTGAAAAGTGTAACTCTTTGAATGTTTAAATATTAAACAATTTGTATTATATTTAATTATCGTGAACTGCTGTAGTTCCAATTATCACGATACAATGCGTTAACGAGAAAATAAAATATTAAATGCATAATGTATATTATTTGACCGCGAGCGATTTATTTTAATTTAAATTAAGTTATAAAACCATAAGATAGTAATTTTCATTCCTATTACATGAATCAAAGCAAATAATAATTTATCCGCTCCTAAAGCGTATAAAAATGCAGTATAACTTCCATTTAAAAAAATAGAATAACTTCTGTTTTAATAAACTTCTCTTTTCAATTAATAAAGTTAATTGAGCTTCAACTGATTCCGCATCTCTTCCTCGTTTTTCCGTAAAAAGTCACAGAGAATCAATTAAATCTCGGATAGTTTTAATTAATATTTATAGAAACGAGATTCACGAAACAAGCATATTTTCGTAAATCTTATGACCCCTGATAAAATATATGAACGCTATTTCACGACGGTCGCAATACGCCCTGCATCGCGTAAAAACATCGTTGATTTACGTTTACTGTTAATTTATACCATTTTGTGCGGTGATTATGAAAATGAGAAGGGTATTGCCTAACTTTCTTAATTACTTCTCTAAGCCGTTGGCGGGCGATATGAGAAGAAAAAGCTCTTGCAATAACTTACTGTAATTACTTATATGCACTTCTACAACAAATTCCTACATCTTTGACAACTAGTTCTTTTCAAAAACTCGTTTCGTTCAGAAATTATGAAATAAAAAAGTTGCACAAAAAATTCAAGATCTTTTTTTAGTGTTTTAAAAGAATTTGAGGAACAAAAATAGCAATGCATGCCAGACACGCAAATGTTGTTTGTCGTCGAAAACGTTTCTAGTTGTCTTCAGGTTCGAATTGTTTCGAAGGGAAATAGGGATCCGCAGTGTTATACCCCATTGCTAGAGCACCAAATATACACAGCGCGTCTTGATTATGCGCAACACGTATTCTCAAACACAATCCCGCGACACTCGTAACGCAGGTGGAATTCGAGGCTTCCTCGAGGCAGATAACTGAATTAATTAAGTCTCCTGCAAATGAGGAGATACCCGTGTAACAAAGGTGAATTAACACTAATTCACATTTGCGTACACGGCACTCGTACACGGATACTACACCGGTGCTAAAGAGCTACGAGAAATAGTCGATGTAAAATTACGAAAGAGAAATATGTTATATTTGAAATGTGTGTATAAAACATTTATAAAAAGCGGAAAGTATAAAATAAAAGAGAATAAATCAGACATAGTTTGATCGCGAATAAAAAAAAAGTCGTTACGTCAATGCTTTAGACATTTGCGGTATCAGAGAATGTCCGCACGGTTGACCATTTAATGCGAGGAAAATTCACAAGCATCCCTGAGGCTATCAATAATAAAATACAGCTGCGTGTAGTTATAGCTTGCTAACCCTGCAGCCTCCGCTCTCAAATATCGAGGCAAGGAGGGTAATATATATGCCGATATATCTTGATTGGAATCTCCCTCCTTCTTCAACACCATCCACTCTTCTTTCTTTCATCCACCGCTTCGTATCCTCCATCTCTCCTTTTCTTTTCATCCTTATTACGTTTCTCTCTCTTTCTTTCTCCTTTGCGCCTCAAATTTAAATTTATTTTCTTTATTACAACTAAGTCGCGTTATATCTCTGATTTTATAAAAAGCGCTACCGCGTGAGAATGAGAAGACGAGAGAGAAAAAAATAAATATTTTAAATAGCACTATATATGCATTATATACAAACTCGCAAGTATATAATATATATTCATTGAAAAAATAATTGTGTAATATTTTTCTCTCGTTTCATTTTCTTTTAATTCAACAAAGAACGTGCAGCTTAAAAAATTTTAAGGAAAGTTTGTGAGAGAATTTCTTAGTGAAATATATAAGACTTCAACAGATTTATTGAAATAGAAAAGTTAACTGCCTGTGTGTGTGCGTGTGTGTGTGTGTGGATTAAACGGACTTAGCCGTCGTACTATCAGGTTATATGCTCAGAAAAGAGCCGTGCAATGTCGGAAATGGAATGAGAGAAGGAAAACGAAGCGTGATGTTGAAAGAGAGAGGAAAAGAGGTAGTAGCAGGAGGTGTTCGTTTACGTAGTTCCAGACCAGTATAAATCATTGGAGGGTGGAATACCACAAATATATCATGTTCAGACAGTTCAAGAATAAAATAAACAACCCCCACCCACTTCTATTTATCCTCCCCTGCGGCTCACCACCGAAACCTCCGCCTATGGTTATATTTCACGAGATTTCATTCCTGCACAATCTCCTACAATAAACCCGTGGTTTTCTAAGTCGTTGATTTACTTTGTAACTGTGTAAACAGAACTACTGTTTAATCTGTATATACTAAAGTTGATACCTCCTCATTTCATTATCATAATTTTTAATAAAACGTCTACTACTACGTGTGACGTGTTAAAACAGTCTTTCAGGTAATATCTATCAATATCTAACTAACCATATTAAAATTCTATATTTTTACTCGATAATTGCTATTAGATATTGCAGTTGCCTAAAGTTTGCTATTTAAGCGAAATAACACGCCACTATATGCAGTGTTTCAAGACACTTTTTATTGCATATATAAAGTATTTTTAATATTACCCAGTATTGCCATATGTATGCATGTGTTTTCAACTTGGATAATATATGGACAAATATTTAATAACCATGTAAGATTCTGAAAACGAACACTGAGAATGTTAGTATAAATATGCAATTGTAAATTGCTTACCTGTAGACTTGGATGGCATCCCAATTCCAACAACGTTCGCACAACACCAGCGTGTCCTTTATTAACCGCGATATGAAGAGCCGTCTGACGTCTTTTATTTCGAGCGTTTAAATCGGCACCGGCACCAGCGAGAAGTGCCATGACTCCTGGCTCATCTCCAAAGGCAGCATGGTGTACGGCTCTATCACCGTCTTTATCCTGTTTTGCAAAAATACAAAAATATAAGTAAATGCAGTCCAGTATACATTTTCGTTCGCCTATAAAAAATATTTACTTCTATTTCTACGTCCGCTTTATATCGGAGAAGGATTTTAATAACTTCTAAATGCCCATTTTGACTCGCAGCTTGCAAAGCGGTGTGACCGGCAAATACACCGTTAACATCGGCTTCCGGTCGTTTCAAACATTCTTCACATTTAGTGGCATCACCATTTGCTGCTGTTTTCACTAATTCTTCGTTAACATCACCCGAAACATGGGTCTCAAATAATTTTTTCAGTAAAGCTGATAATCGTTCTGAAAAATAATATATTTGTTGAATCATGAGAGCATGGCCAATGAAATGATGAATTGATTTAGTTTATCATACACTTACCACCACTACTATTTCCCGGGACACTACCGTCGCTGCTAGCAACCTTTGTAACAGCTTGTGGATTATATGTCCATGATGTACTACAAACTTCTACTTTTAAGTCTCCATCATGATATATTTGTTGCACTCTACCTATTTTTCCCAAAGTCTGGAAAAGAATCACACAAAATTGAATATAACATAAAGACATTAAATTTTATCTTTCCATTATTTAAAAGTATTTTAAAAAGTATTTTACCGGAGCCATTGCCTCAGCCCATTCTCCATGACCACGTTGGAGTAATTTAATTTTTTCTATATCATTACATATTTGCACTAAATCCCCAACAGCAAATGTCTGATTGTCAGAACTTGAGCTAGTAACAGGAACGGGTATCTGAACTTTAGTAAGTACAGCGGGGTTAAAAGTCCATCGATTGCCGCTTGGATAAGAGACAACAATGTCATGATCTTCGTCAATACCGACAACCGTTCCTGTGGTGCCAAGGCATTCAAACATGCCATCTGTCCAACCTCCATGCCCATGTTGTAACGACTGAACAATTTCCAATTCCAAATCGACATTGACCTGTCAAGAAAAAAAATAATAATTAAAATTGAGTATAACATTTTCAGACATATCGTAAATAAAAAATAAATTACTCACTTGATCACCAATTTGCAAACCATGAGGTCCTGTTCGACCAGGACCTTGCTCACCCAATAACGGTAAATGATCTCTATATACTGTTTGCCCTTTTGCATCATTAACTACTTTTAAATCCGCCTAGATATAAAAAATCACATTAATATCAAATTATTTGAATACAATTAATACAATAATAGTGATATAATACCAACCATTCCTTCAAAACCAACTCTGTACAAATTTTTAGCACCATTATCCCAAATAACATAAGCCGCTGAACGTGGGCTAGCTGCAGACCAGTCTTGTATCTCATTAACTTTTCCCCGACGACCATTTCCACCATCCTGATCTTCCCATTGCCAGTCCACACCTCGTACGACTCTTGCACCAGGAAATATACCACGAATGGCAATCTACATCATAATATTAATTAGTAAAATATAACATATAACAAATAATTGTCAAATAACAAGATTGAAAGTTAGTATTCGTACCTTTTTGCTTTTCCGTCGAGGCTCTAGCAAAACTCTTTCACTTCCTGGTGTAGCAATACGAAAAAATCTATGTCGCAAGTGATGCTTATCCCCATGATAACAAATAGAACACAGATCATAATTGCCACATTCAGCACACTTCCATCTTATTCCGAAAATAGGTTGTTGACGACAGGTATCACACATTGTCCCGTCATGTTTTACTCCAGTTGGTGCAGAATCTAGTATACGTAGATCAAAGGCTCCAGAGCATCGATAATTAGCTGCTGTACCATTATCCCACACAACTACAACCTCTTCTGGTGATTCAAAGTTTCTGACAGTACCCACATGACCTTCTCCGCCATCCTTTTAAATACACACAATTAAGAAAAAATAATTAAAATACTGTCTACTGCTTACATTACTATTGCTAATATAATGAAACTTGTTGGCAATATGGCTATGCTGTTAAATATATGTGATTTAAAACATGTATTATTCATACTATTGCATACAACTATCATTATTTTGAAAAGCACAAATACTTTACATAAAAAATACTGCAAAATCTAATATTAATTTAAATAAATGCATGATACATTTATATGATTTAATTAAATAAAAAATACCATATAAAATAAACATCGAATAACCTTACAGCAAAATAGATTGCCTTTTTTCAGGCGCAATTTTCTTACAAAAATTTTCAAATTGCTGTTGCAGCAAACAGGAGATATAAAAATATATATTACGAGTAATTTTATGAACAATAAGCATCGTATTATTTTGAAAAAATTACATTTACTGTAGTTAACCTCTCATTCTAACCTGTTTTCCCCACTTCCATTCCGGCCCACGAATGACTCGGGCACCAACGCCTTCCATCATAAAACGCGTCGTACGAGTACCCGTACTCGCACCGGCTTCCATCGCTCGTTGACAATAATTCTTTCACGTATTTCGCTCGAAAATCGAAGAACACGATACCCTCACTTAGCACGAACTCCGAAAAATAACACCACTTTGACAATGCGTCAAAACACGCGTTGCCAACATAGTCCTAGGAACATAACCTTTTACAGAATTTTACCGTGAGTTGATAACACTAGATTTATAATATTTATTACCAGAGAGAAACCTGAGAGGTGGATGTACGCGCCGCTAGTGTACGCCTAGAAAAAGCGTCTTACGAAAAACGGCAGCGAGGCCCCTCTCAGGTTTCTTTCTGGTGATACATACATTAGAGAAAAATAAAGAAACATTTAAAAAATCAAAGAGTAATAATAACATCATTAATATTATTATCATTTACATTTGTTATATTTAAGAAAAATAAATAAGCTAGAAATGCAAC